GTGATCCGAGAACAGCTTTTATTAAGATATCCGGTACAAAACTGATACGAGCCGAGTCCCGTAGTTTCAGACACGTTCATTGTCTTTCGTCTTCTCCTAAAGATTGTTGCTTGAATTTAAATAGCACATATTTTTTCTCTTTATTATATTAAGTATTTTAAATAACATGCAACTTGGGCTATAAAATATTTTTTTCAAATCCCATGACGAGTTCTAGAGATTAATGCATTTAACGAAAAAAAAGCCCTTTAGTTCATTTATATTGACATAGATTACTAGCACAGATCGTATTCTGATATGTAAGAATAATATTATTTATTTGTTTGTTTATAACAAATAAATAAAACTGTTCAAAACAATTATAGTACAACAATTAACATATTTGACTGAAAAACAAAACAAGTACATAATTTTATTACCACCAACATCAGAACCATAATTATATTCCAAGTAAATAATTATATTAAGACGAAATCAAGTGCAGGAGTACTCTTACAGACAATATTTTTGGCTTGTCACTGAATATATCGACATCCTGATCTGTACGCAATACTCGTAGATTATTAAGCAGTTCGATAGCTCTGACAGTGGGAGCAGTAGCGGCATGTGCTGAGCGCCACGTTGGTGGTGAGAAGTCTACGTTGCCTTCGACCAGTTGCATGCATGTACTGATCCGGTACATATACTGTCTACCTTGTTGGCCAATAGGAAGTAATAATGCTTTATGTGTAGTAATTTTCGCCTAAGTTCTAAGGTGTCGAGATCGACCATTCCCAATACAAACATGGAGGGATATATTGTGAATGCGTAGATTTTTTTGCGGAACCCAAGTTAGTAAACTATATGAGTAACATCAAAACATACAAAGTGTGACTTGAATGTTAATAATAAATAATTGACTGAAAAAATACAACGTATTGAGTCGAAATAAACCTATGTTATGTGCTTTATCACAGAATACATAATCAGCAAGTTTATTGTGAGGAGAATTTAAATGTCTGCATACCTGGATAATACCAACTTACATTAGGACATACATATGTAAGTAAAGAGCACTTATAAGATTCCGCCACCTTTATTTTTGAGGGAAGGATAGGATTATTTATGTGCTGTATATAACTAACGTATTTTGTTTATTTTATTTTTCTATGTGTTTAAAATTGTACAACTTTTGTAGCCCAAGCCGTATTACAAATCCACATTTGGTCACCTATTTCGGCACTGTTGTTTAGAGCTTACAGCCCGCGCAGCGCAGTACTGAAGCACCAATTAGAGCTACCAGCGGCAGTAATGTACATCGTTGAGGTTCGCCTTATACAAACACATTAATGCCCTCATTAGAGCTGTTGAAACATCCCTTGGATTCTTTGCTAATATATTATGTGCATATATTGGACAGCGGACTGTTATTAAGCTCTTACAGGAGCCTTTCTTAACCAGTTTAGTGCGATATAAAGATAAGTAAATTACTCGTAGCATAGTAGTTAGCAAATATCTTGATAATGTTTTTTCCATTTCAGTTTGTTCAGCATTTTGTTTTCATTTCTAATGATTTTCTTTGAAAGATTCTGTATTAACAATATTTTAAACATTGGAAAATATTTACTTTAAATATTTTAATATACTCATGGTCATTACACGGTCTTAGTTTAACATATTTTTTTCATATAAAATTTAAATTTACCAATACAGATTATTACACAAATATATGTCAAGTTAATGCTTCTGAAGAAATGAACCTCGAACTTTTACTAAAAAAAATATAGACACTAGATAATATTATGTATTATGTACTTAGAATATTAACATAATTCCAGACCTATTTCCCTCAGGACCAACTCTCAACGTAATCATAATGTAAGCAAATATTCAATGAAAACTATTAAAAGTGTTGTCATGTTGCAGTATCTGTAATTTCCATCTAAATGCATATCTCTGTCGAAGATAGCAATGTTCAAGATGTCCGTGATAAGCTAGGAGTATTTAAAAGCTCTATTATAGTAGCGATTAGTAGGTAGTCGCAGCGACTCAGTATGACGTTAATAGGATAGACGCGTTTTCGTCGGTGTTTGCGACATTCCTAGTGATGTAGGACGGCCCGTTGTGTTATTATTATAAAGTAAATATATATTTAAATGTTGGTTTTATTATGCAGTGTCAAAACTGGACCATGTCTCGTGGATATAAAATGAGAAGAAAATTGTTATGAAGACAATTAATTTAATAGAATTGTTCTTAAGAACAACAATTTAAATTGTTGCAGTAAAATCTATACGAATATTATAAATATGAATGTTTTTTAATGGGGAATTTGGATGTTTGTTACCTAATCACTTCAGAACAGCTGTATAAAATTACAAGAAATTTTGTTCATAGATCTATTATTGTCTGGAATAGGTTACTATTTTTTCCCGGAAATATAATATTCTAATTTATTACGAGTAATTACCGCAAACGCGGGTTACAGCTAGTAATTTATAATGAATTAATAAAGCGTAAATAATAAATACTTAACAATATTAATATTAAAACTTGTTAATTATTGTACTATGCTATAATTTTCTAAAGTATATTTTACACTCAAACGCGAAAAAGGCTAATTCTAAATGTGCATAAATATTATTGTGCCTCACCTCACCTCTTACAATGAACATTAAGGTGCCAGCTTTAGATAAGACATTGGGTTTTGCATCGTATAGTTTAAAATAAAAAACAGACTTGCTATATTTATTTATTTCTAATTCAAAAATAACAAATGAGATCTATAAGGAAACACGTTACTCTGTGACTGTACAGAAGGCAAAAAACCTATTTTAAAATTCATCTGGATACTAAAACAGGTTACATTCTTCGACTATGATGGTCCGTGCCTCTCCGTGTGTGATCAAAAACTATTAATTTTTTAATTAGTGTCAACCCTATAAGTAGTGTAGCCCTCGCTCAAAAGTGGTTACAACATTCGTTATGCTTATAAAGTATTGAAATATGCAAATGTCATTAATTGCCTGTTGGACGGGCTCCCGACCAGTCTCGGTTTAATCTTGTCGACGACGCAATGATAAGTCATTTTGTAATTATATTGTCTACTAGCTGTGCCCGCGGTTTAACTTCAAATTTACTACTAGTAAAATACTACTATGGTAATTGTAGAGTACTTAAAATTTACAAGCAGGGGAATTTATTTTTTTAAATCTATACATCATCAACGCAGAGCCTAAACCGCGGGGGCTATAAAGTTGAAATTTTGACAGCTGATGCTTTTCATATTGTAAGCACCCACTAAGTAAGGATTTTTAGAAATATTGCCCCTAAGGGGTCAACTAAAGAATGCACAGTTGCATAGAAGTTCATTATTCCTGAAGTTAGAAACATGAAACAAAAAAGTGTGTTTGTGCAATTCACACAAACAGCAGAAGTGAAACTTCAGAGAAAAATAAAAATAAATAAAAAGATAAAAATATTAACACTGTCAAAATATTATATAAATATATAATATTGAAAAAAAATTACACACAAATTAAAATTATTCACACAAATATTATTGTGTGTAAAATCAATACAAATAATTTTCTAATGTAAATACTAACGATAATATACTAATAGAACTTTAATAAAACATAATATTCACATACATATTATTAAAAAATAAAACACGTGAATGATACACCACGTTGTTTATGTTCATAACACATTTTCAGAAAGCTTCGTTGTACGCAGAAAGAAAACTGTAAACTTGTAATCTATCTCTTTCTCTCGGAGGCTAAATCCTATTTATTTATATGTTTGTCGCTATTTACTGTCGCTTTTTCGTTTCATCGAATTTTCAAATCACAACGGTGCTAAAGAAGTTCCACTTCCAGCTAGTTTTGATATCCCCAGTATCACTCTCACAATTAAGACGAATCTAACGACTAAAGCTAAAATCCATCGAACCGTTTCAACAACCGTCAGAGCGTGACAAAGAAATATACACACATACATACAATCGAAAAACTTAACGCTCCTTATGACGTAGTCGGGTAAAATTAAAATATCTTTCATCACACGTCAACAGCATTGAATAGTACACTATTGGACATAGGCCTCTCCTTAGAAAAGAAGTTTTGGTCTATTATACTATGCTGGCCAGACGGGTTGGTATAGAGTTTGTTTCAAGTTTGCCTTCTCTTTGCAGTGCTTTTGCGTAGTTTGCCTCCTTAGTCAACTCTTACGACAGCCACGGGATGAATAGGGGTGGTGATACTCTGTATTCTTAATCCGTCACCACACGGTTTATAATTATCTTTTTAATCTATACTATTTTGATTGCGCTTTAGAATGAATGCGCCTTTTTTGCGCTTCTACTAAGCTCTTCCGCTTTTTAATTAGTACAGTATAAGTAGGTACAGCGTAGTTTATAAGTACAGAAAAGATACCAAATAGTATATGTATTAATTTGTTTGTAAATTGTGTTCTATGCATTGTCTTCTCGATGTTCACTAAGGCTTTGTCGCATTGGAACTTAATCTATCAGTTGTGTTTTCTGATGCGTATATTTCTGTGATTTAACCATGAGGCAAAATGCAAATATGAGTCTCTAGAATTTGGCGCTGTTCAAACAACACCTTATGTGGAAATGAAGTTCTCGATAACTGTTTATGTTTGAATTTGAGAACGGGACACTTCCAGGGATGACGGCGCGTGCCGAATTTTTCATCAGCACACCTGAGTTCATGCTGCCAACATAAGTCCTATTGTCGGATAATCTAACCATGAACCCTTACATTGTATGATACAATTAAATACACGACGAAGCATCTTAACTAAAACTGGTATCCTCAATACAATCTGCTATCGTCTCGATACACACAATTAACTAACAATTTCCTTTTATTTGTTACAGTGTGAACGCGACGCTAATTGCGATGCAACTGCCTTCAATTACAACGAACAACAAACGCATTCCGATACAATCGAATAAATAAAATTTCTTATATAAAGTATAAAATAAAAAAATCAAAATGGACGTCAGTACATTAGCAACATTGCTGGACTTACAGAACACTTCTGACATTACCACGGAGCTGAACTCAACGAGCGCAGTGCCCGTGCAAGGATCCTCAAAAAAGAGAATGTTCAGTTTACTAGTGATGGTGGTGTATACTATAGGAATCGTGGGCAACGCTTCAGCTATAATTGCGTTGAGAAGAGGAGAACGGAGAGTGAGGAATAGGAAACATCTGTTGCTGCTGACATCCTTAGCCGCTAATGATCTAGTCGCACTTGTAAGTAACTACATCTAACTATACTTATAACGTATTTTTAGATTTAAAAAGGAACTGCTTCCAGAAATCTGTTTATTTTTAATTTTAATAGGTTAAAAAGTTTATCTTTATATTATTCGTGCTGTATTCAATGTTGGGAAAGCATGATAGTCTTTTTTTCTGAACTTATATTTACTAAAGCAAAAAGATAAAGTGTTTGTATAGACTAGTGACTAGATGATTAATTGGCCGCTCTACAATAGTTGATGGAATTTATGTATTCCACTTTACGAAATGTATTTTGTTTTCGACCATGTTTTCCTATCTTCTTATAAATTAACTATAACAACAAAGATTCTTCTTAAAGTACCTAATTTACTCTAAATAGCTCTCTGGCATTCTAAAAATAATAATGCTCTTCTCGTTATATCCTAGCGAGTTGGTTTGTAACGTTTATTTCACCCCTTCAAGCTGAACTGAACTCACCTGATTGCTATGAAATGTTGAACACACACATTGTCAACAGTATACTCGTATAGTCAACAGTATAATACTTACTAAAAAAAATACTGTTGCTGAAAAATTCCTGGATCAACAAAATCAACATCTTACACTTATTAAAACTAGTGAAATACAGCATTATTTAAAGCGGACACCAGCTGTCTAGATAGTATGCTAAAAAAGGATTCGGTTTAGATTCGTTTAGCTATTTGTAAATAAAGGCCGTTGGCTGCGGGGCTCGGCCGCTGGACCCTGCCTAGGGCCGTCCGCCTTCATTCCACGGAAACATGTCACGACGACACGATTGTTTCCTGTTCACATCACGATTATAAGCGTTTTATTTTCTAGGCTGAAGACCTGGTTAACTATATAATAATAATAACCTCACACATCTCACACACGGCTGTCTGATCCCAAACTAGGCAGAGCCTGTACTATGGTAACCAGACTGCTGATAAACATACTTATATATGTCTAAATACATACATATTATAGATAAATTACACCCAGACACAGAACAAACGATCGTGCTCATCACACAAATATTTGTTCTGGGTGGGAATCGAACCCACGACCTCCGGTTTAGCAGTCAGGGTCACTAACCACTAGACCAACAGGCCTAAACTATCATATTTTTACAAGACATTAATAATCTATAAGTGTCACAACGCATAACAAGTGGATATTCTGACAGTCTGCAGCTATTTACAATACCTGCATTGTTTGTCCATGAAAAGTTTTTACACGACATCATGCGGGAAGCGTGGGGGCTACAATTAGTTTATGTTATTAGTACATCAGGGAAGTATGATAAGTAACTGTCACACCTAACTATTAATGCTTATCAGCATAATATGTAACGAGCGCCCTGTTGGTCGTCGGTACAAAAAAACAAATGTTTTATACAAAAAAAAAAGTTAGTCTCAGTAACTTCGGACGTAACGAAAGAAAGGGTAAAGTTCATCTTTTTTTTTGAATAATTTCAAGAATACTGAACATTAAATGTAAAAAAACAAGTATATAACTAATACTGCAAATATTTACTCGATTATTAAATATTCGAATCTGTCTCCCAAAAACGACCCTCGTGTCTGTTTGGGTCACAAGAATTAATAGTAATTTTTGAAAATTTCATCCTAACCCGACCAGTAGTTTGGCTATAACCAACGGAGAGTCAGACGCACGAGTGATATATGAGTCCGATTTTTCAATCGATAGTTCATCATAACTTTTTGTCAAATAATACGTAAACCTTTCTTAATTTAATCGATGGAGGAGAGACACGTCTTGTAATTTACCCGCGCCGCCTTGGTCGCCGCGTGCCATTCGTCACCGACCTAAAAATAAAATTAAGTATTACCTGACAGAGAGGGGAGCTTGCGCTTGCGCAATGTTCGTTTGAATTTGAACACTTCTTCTCTTCTTCCCAAGGCACTTTTTATTGTGTATGTATGTTCGACGTCGACTTTTAAATTTTACTAGGAGCATTGAATTTTGTTTTTTTAAATAAACGTCATTCACATTTAAGTTACATTTTTTTACAATGTCTCTATTCGCCAAACTATTCTAACAATTTGTAAGCGTGTAAATGTAATGCCGGCTTTTCGGAGAGTTATGACTTGAAATAAATTTTAATATGTGTGATTAATTTTTGTAGACGCTAGTGGAGTACCTAATAAAATGAGTACGTACAATGTTGCCCCAAGCGGTTACAATAACACAACTAACAAGTTATTTACCCATATTTATTTGCTGTAAATTATATCAACAAGGGCATTTCTTTAGCCAACTACCGTGTATTTGACTTTATGTACCTACCATTACCTGACTCCATGCAATAATAATAATAATAGCAATTTGAACCACCCGGAGATATACTCGGACCTAATTTTGCGGCATCTATCTTTGTCCGCCAATGTAATAGCCCTATTCATGTTATCTAACCTCACGGTAGAGTTTCCACACATAGCGTCTATAATTCATCTTCAAATGGCTTTTAATCCACAGATCTAACAAACATCATTTGAAACTAGCTTTAGGTTTGCTAACAGACTTTTATCGTTCAGGAACATTTATACTACCAGTAAAGGACCTATAAATTGCCTTTTCTTGTATCCTTGACAAAGGTTATGGAAAATTACGTGATCGTTTTTTAGAAGAAATTATTTTAGTTGGAGGGCTCGGATTTCACGCCAAAAGCCACTTAGTTCGAGTTACAATTTTGCAAGTCCCTCACTCATGAACTGGGAAACCATCCGTATGACCAATATGCCTTACCTTTCGTCCTTACTAAATATACAGTATTAATATACTCCTCCACGCAGTTGGCGCTTGATGCAGGGTATTACACCCATTTTCGAAAATGATATTGATCGTAAGGCAACATACAAAATAACCAGAAAATTGATAAGTTTCATAAAAATTTATTTTAACTTTACCGCGTATAAATTTATAAAAGTGCTAGACGCCATGTTGGTCATTCATCAAGACGTCATGTCGGTAGGAGAAGCATAAATTATTGCAATTTTGATAAATTTAAAGTGAGTTACACACAATCCGTGGGGTCGGTGATGGAGATACGAGTCCTACGAGTAAATTTGTTGTTTGAATATGACGTTTTTTAACAGAACTAAAGCCGGAAACTACTCTATCTTATTTATATAATTCTTCTGTGAGTGTGTATGTCACTGAACTTCTCTCAAACGACTGGACCGATTTTGATGAAATTTTTTGTGTGTGTTCAAGGGGATCTGGGAATGGTTTAGATTCACAATTTTGAATGGTAAGGGTGACCCATCCCTAATTTTTTTTGTTGCAATACAACGTTTGCCGGATCAGCTAGTTTAATATAAAATATTTTCTGATTGCCTCAACTATCTTACTATTACTTTCATTGGATGGAAAAAACTCTTCTTGCTTGCCCACTAATTCGGTGTGTAGTAGCTAAAATTAGAGTGTATAAAATGTCTCCAGCTAATTTTTAAACTTTCATGAAATCGTGTTTCATTGTACCTATATAATTATGTTACTGACTGACTACACGGATATACTGATATACAGGCGTGCATGTATTTAAAATAACTGACCGAACTTGCATTTAAAATATTATACTTAAACAATCTTCTTTGAGATAATCTTCAAAGGTACCTAATTATGGAGAATGTATAAAATATTACTTTGTGGTATACAGGTTGGGATGATGTGTGTGATGTTGGTGAGCGAGCACGTGCCGGGAGTGAAGGACACGCGCGCTTCGTGCGTTGCACGCGTCGTGCTGCGCGTGTTCGGCATCGGCAGCGTATGCATCGCCGTCACCATGGCTCTCGAGCGGTGCCTCGCACTCACCAGGCCCTTCCTTTATCAGAAGGTAAGTACTTAGATAATAAAAATACATCAAAAATTGAGAGCCGCTCAAAATCCTCTCAAAAAACATTTATACATTTAAAGTATAAAAGTATTCCGTCAGTTAATCTAGCTTTCATAGTACAAGCTCTCAAAAATGAAAACGATATAACGCTAATAGGATTAAATGATTCGATTGTATGGAATGTGGAGGACAGCGCCATCTAGTATCGACTCAAGTACATCTATTAAGATTGTGGTTAAAACGAGTAGTACTGATCCTCACAGCGCTAGATGGCGCTGCAATTAATACAAATTTTACGACACAGCGAATTAACATAATACAACAAGATATATAGTGATTCCTAGTAGTGAGTGTTTGTAAATACAGTGAAATAAAATAATTAACCGACAAATTTAATTTATTATATACCCCGCTCGTAACAATACCATCAAATTTACTGTTTCAAAAATGTTCAACAAAACACATTTGGTTAGATAATGGATAATGTTTGCATTTCTATTGACGTTTATTGAAAAGAACCGAAATAAATCAATATTTACAAAAAAATATTGTAGGTATATTAGATATATTAAATTATATGCATTGTAATATGGCACTGAAATACTGTAGGTACTTGAATATACTACAATTACGCGTTCACACCCTAATTTACCGTATACCGTAACACACTTTCTGTGACAAGCTGTTGGCCCCTAAAACCCTTTAAACTTCTGTATAGTCATAAAAGCTAAAATATTAAGGAACCATGTGGAAGTGCTAAAACCAATACTTCATAAATTATTGTCACGAGTGCCTACTTATATCCTAAAGCAGTCGCTTTTTTTATGGAGAAGAGAGCAAACGAGCAGACGGGTCACCTGATGCAAAGTGACCACCGCTGGCTATGACCGCCTGCTACTCAGGAGTCATAAGCGCGTTGCCCGCCTTTGTGTAGGAAAATACTTATCCACGAGTACAGTGATAGTCTATTACAAATCTAGTAAACCTACTAAAAAACGATATATTCCGTCATATGCCTTGTTCCATCTCCATTCTTTATCGTATTAGGAAGATGTCAAAATACTGTTTAAGAAACACTTGTGGAATACCAACGCTGGTAATAATAATTAGGCCCGATTTACGTGTTAGTCAGAAAGCCCGGCTATACAGAAGTATGTTTTAGACATTGGAGTAACTTTATTCTAAGATAAAAATATAAGACTAGAATTTAATGAAATGAGCGTTCACTTTCAAAACACATATCTCATTTAAAAAAGATCTTATAATCATTCTGTATTACTTGATGTTGAAAACCTACTACAAATAGTGAACTTATGAAATCTTGGATAATGTCATACACACCACACACACACACACACACACACACACCCACACAAACATATACACACACCGACACACAAACATATCTAATTAAACATACTTAACTAAATTGTGTCTACAATTGTAACTATTTGTTCACCTTGTCTTTGAGAAGGAACTGACTCCCTACACACGGCTCGCGCTAGTTTGGGAATCCACTTATTGTTACAATAAAGATTATTATTATTATCCTCTTCCTCCAAGTTTTGTTTCAAAAAATATCACAATGTCTAGGACACACTACAATTTAAAAAACTAATATAAGAGCGTTTTAAAAGTGCGGTAAAAAACATTCGTTTCATCTTAATATCATTTTATATCTGTTTTTTAAACAGCTGACGTCAGAGGTAAGATGTAAAGCAAAAATAAAGCAAAATTGGTGTTCGGACAATTGTAAAAGTAATAAAATAAGAGCATACATAGGTGCATATACGAGTACATCACTCAAAGCTTTTTACAAAGTGTTAAATTGTGTTTAATAATATAAATGTTAATAACCCAGAATAAGTACAACTGCATTTGACAATGAAATTTAAATCCGCAATAAAACGTGGCTTGTGCCATAGGGCCTGCTACTCAATTGTGGATTGTGCTTGGGATTAATTAGCGCAGGCTTTTTCTTTCTTAACTGAAAATGTGATGTGGCTAGTGTGTTTTTTATTATTATTTTTTTTTTTCACCTCATTTTCTGATATATTCGTTTTTTTTCTGTCTTAAAGCATGTTACAGAGCCCCAGAGTCTTAGAATTATTCAGTAAACAATTAGTATTTAATCGTTTTACCTTATATATTGGCTTGGAATAAAGATATAGGTAGCAGATTAACATTACGCAGCATAGCATGTACACATAATGTTACAACGGCATTGAGAACCTTCTCGCTATTATTATATTTTTTCTTTTTTTCATAACAATATCCTGGGACAATTTGCAAACTAGACCTAAACTAAGCAGACCTTGTATGAGTTCATGGACACGGAACACGGGCAGACATCCTTACATCCATTTTTGTAAATACATACGTAGGTAATGTGCAAATATCCCCGGGCTCGCGCCAATCCCCAAGACTACCGCAGCATAGAGCTCGTCAATGTTTATTCAATGTCATTATACTCTAAAAACTTAGGACCTTAATTAGTTTCAGTGTCCAAAGCAATTGAGTACCTCGTCTAATAATGTATATAGGATATAAGTAGCTAAGCTGTCCACACGTGCGACAGCATCGTAAATACGTCTATGAGAGAGCTATTGATTCACTACCGATAATAAACGCGATAGCGGGTGCTAATACAATGTTATTGCGCTCATTGTTTAATACCTATTACTTGTAGATAAGTTATCACATTAATTTGCTGTAGATCTTGTGATCATATTGAAGTGCCGAACGCTTTGAACACTATCGACATAGCTTATGAAACTGAACACGAGATTCTTTCCCACAAATTTCAAAACCTAAAACTATGAACTTACGATGTCACGAACTGTAGCTACACGATTTGTGAGTCAATAAGTAAGAAAACGAATACCACCTACTTTGTGCTACTAATATTCTTGGAGGTATGCGTGAACCAGGAACAATCTTAATAGCAAACTATTTTCATAATGTAATCAGTGATACGGTAGACATAGTTTACACAACAGACCTGAAGATATTGAAAAGGCAAAGTAAAAGTGACTCGAATAATCTGATGAAGAAAATTTTTATGAAAGAAAAATAAATTGTCTTCAAAGACTCAGCATGAAGTCCATGACTTCATTGAGACGGAAACATTTCTCTAAATTACGTGAATAGGATATGACACGGTTACCCATCACATATCATTTTCATTTAATGCTTTTCACAGTTCTAATCGCATTGGTTTTCCCAAGGACCATACCACCATTTTATATAGCCGTATATCGATTATTAAAAATTAAGAAGAAATCTCCCATGTGGTAGATCCAGGGATTACAAAATCTTGACATTATTATACTAGTATTGATTTGATCCATGTCCTTGAGTATTTGGATCGCTCCTCGCTGTTCGCACGTCAGTACATATATTGACAGGAGCTCATCGAAGCAATCCAATAAATTTGATTTATATTTAGCTGTGCACCGTCAAGTGTAAATAACACGGCGTGGCATTCCCCGACCGCGATCGCGCCCTGAAAGCTGTAGGTCAATGCTTACTGTATATGATCGGGTATAACATACAATGTTCTGAATAACTATCAGTTTTTACTATCTTTGTATATGTAATTCTAACAAACGCGTGTAGGTAATTCCTCCTAATCTACAGGACCAATTTTTTAGATGGGTTAGATACATAATTTAACCCTGTAGATGCAACCGAGTTCTACGATTGTTAATTCTTTTTACGAAAATCATGAAATTCTTTTTATGTGCTGATGAGTATCTTTGAGATACTTTGGATTCTCAATTTGACTCGGTTGGTAACGTTACAAAGTGGTTTCAGAAAATGTACCTATTTTTCATCAAATAAGAGTCGGGAGATAATATTTAAAAAGTCTATATAGAGCTATAGGGGTCCAGTGTATATTTTTGTGGAACAAAAGTTTGTACAATAACATTTCAAGTTATACTGCTCACTGAAATAAAAATCATTTAAACGGACCAAATCCCACTACCAAGCGATCTCTGGTAGAAGATAAATCGTAGATACCGCAGATCGCCGCACTTTCTGCGCGTTTAAAGTCAAACCTGTCACCGATTTAAACACGTATGGTAGTACGGCATTTGTTTCATCAGTTTTAAACATATGTTCATCAATTTACACATATTGTATATATATTTATTTTATGTAGATATTGTACATATATTGGTAGCGTTTATATGAAGATATATTTACTGATTGATGGTAAGTTATACGCGAACGTCAAACGGGCTTAGGTACTATTTCAATTTTAGATGGAGACGATTGTAGCTTGTAATCACACATAAACACAATATATTTGGACTGATTTTCCTGTTTGTTTCCGTTTTGAAACAGAGATTTGTGTATTAACATCATAATAAAGACTCTTTCAACGTCAGCTCACTCTTTTACTTTATTGTTTCTAGTATAATTATTGTTTGTGAATTCACTAGGAATACTTTTCAATGTTTTTCTTAAAAAATAAGGCAACTATGCAGCAGGTAAGTTATCGCTTACCTGTATAAGTATTCAATTAATGAACAAGTTGTAATATATGATGCCATGGTCTTCATTAGCTTTCATAACATTTTAGAAAATTTTCACACTTCACACTGTAAGTTTCTAACATAAACTTCAATCAAGTGTATCCCTAGTTCCAAGAATTATTTAACAATAAACCAAGTGGTAGCAAGTGGGGGTGTTTCATGGCAACACCTACGCACTAATTATATGACAGTTTATTTATTATAATGTATTGTATGGGTACAAACAATTACGTCTTGATAGAGGTTGTGTTAAGTGCTCTATCTGTTTGCGATCTGTAGATATTGCACATTGTGTGCGACCACCTGCCGTGCGCAGTGACGTCAAAGCACACGAATATGGCGTCTAGTTGTAAGAGAATACGTGTTATTGTTATTATTTGGTGCTATCGTTAGTTCTACATCTAAACTCATTTCAGCCATGTTTCGCTAACTTGTCTATCATCGTCATTTTATCACTTA